ACGTTTTTGACGCAAAACTTCCATTTCATGTGATAAACATGGATAAAAGAGAAAATGACAATATGTGACGAAAGTTTCAAACTTCGCAAATTGAACAGTATAAAAATTAAAAACTCTAAACGTTCTCTAACCCAGTGTGAGTACATATTATCAAAGCATAACCTTTGAAGGCGGGTAGAAGGACAATAACTCACAATCTTTAAGTTGTTTAATTTAAATTTTAATGCTTAAAAAAGCAAGGGGGCGACATGTTTCGGGAATTTAAACTATTTCCATCATCAGGCCCAAAGCTAAAACAATTACAGATGTCAAATTTATAAAATACAATCACAACAAGTTAAAAAGTCAAAAATTTTTACAAAGTCAAAAAATTATATCTATCACAAAAATTGTTCAATCACAGATAACAATATGGTATGCTAAATTTAAAAAATTAAAAACAACTAGACTAAAATCATAAGGTGAGGGGAGCCTCAACTATAATAAATAAATTGTATATAATACTAATAACTATAATAAATAAATTGTAACAACTAATCAACTATAATTAGATAAATTGAAAGAAAAAACAAGGCAATAATCAAATCATACCTCAATGCACAATTCAAAGAAATTTACTTAAGCATTAGTTAAATTTATTTTGAGAGATATATTTTTTTATTTATATATTTTTTTATTTTTGTATTAGTAATGTAAGTTGAGAATTAATTATTTCAATCTGTATATGCTGATATTCAATTATGTGGGATAATTTTTTTAGTTATGTTAGTTAAGAGTAAGTTAAGAATTATGTTTATTTTTTTATTTTTTAATTAGTATATGTTGAATTTTAATTTATATTTCAAATTTATATATTGTAGAAAATTAATATTTACTTTAGTTTAATTTTTAGAAATTTTAATATTTTTATTTAAAATAAAAGCATCGGTGACTTTTGTGTGAGTAGTTTCAATTTATCTAATTATAGTTGATTATACGGCTTCCCTCACCTTATGATTTTAGTCTAGTTGTTTTTAATTTTTCAAATTTAGCATACCATATTGTTATCTGTGATTGAACAATTTTTGTGATAGATATAATTTTTTGACTTTTTAACTTGTTGTGATTGTATTTTATAAATTTGACCTCTGTAATTGTTTTAGCCTTGGGCCTGATGATGGGAATAGTTTAAATTCCCGAAACTTGTAGCCCCCCCTTGCTTTTTAAGCATTAAAATTTAAATTAAACAACTTAAAGATTATGAGTTATTGTCCTTTTACCCGCCTTCAAAGGTTTTGCTTTGCGTATAAAAATTGTTTTAATTCTGTATAAAACTACGTACACCAATATTCAACAAAAAAACACGTTTTGTATATATTGTAAAATCCAAACAAAGCATATTTATTCTTAATAGACTTTTATTATTTATAAAATATTATATTTCATTTAATTAAAACTCTTTAATTTTACAAATAATTTCCAAAACCCAAAAGTTTGCAAGTTTTGTACTCAACCCATGTCAAATTTCGCCGCATTTTTCTATCGAAAATCAAATATGCCGGGTCAGGTTATTTCCGAAATTCTTTCCTGCAAATAATGCCGGACTCGTCGACCGTAAACCCAATCGCCACAAAGGTCGCATTCCGGTTTTTATTTTCATTATTTTTGTGCGAGGCAGCGGCTATAAATGAAATAACCAGGGTTTTTCTCATTTCGACATTATTTGATATCGCGTATGGTACTTACGCTATATCTACAGGGTGAATCTTAAATAAGTGCAAATATTTTTAGGGGTACCTAGTATATTTAGACCACAGAAACACGATTATGAGGTTTTTTCGCGAAAAAGAATTAAAATTTGGATTTTTTTTAGTTTTTAATTAAAAAACGTAATTTCTTGATAATATGGCAACATAGGTAGTAGATTAAATTTATAAGAAAAACAACCCAGAAAAAATCCAGTGGTTTTCAAAACGTATATATAAATGTAACAAAAATATATTTTTTGTAAATTTTTAAAGTAAAATAACTTCGTTATTTTGGACTTATTTGAAAAATGTTAAAGAGAAAATATATTTCTTTTATCGAGATCTATCAGCTGTGAAAATATTTGCACTTATTTAAGACTCGCCCTGTATATAATTTAGAGTTAGAATCTCGTATCTATTATCATCAACAAACACAGGTAATATTGAGTGGGCAATGATTCTAAGGGCAGAGTCTCGCGAAGTGTCTACTCCAACTATTATCATCAAATATTTCAATCGTGCAATGGGTACTAAGGGCAGAGACACGCGAAGCACCTCGTCGCAAATATTTGTAAAACAATACTGAAGGGCAGAGTTACGCGACAGTATTGAAACAATAACGATAATGTTGAGTGGGCAATGATACTAAGGGCAGAGTCACGCGAAGTATCTACTCCATGTCTTGTCAATTCAAGTATCTACTTGAATGTCCGGAGTGCGGTAGGCAGATAACATCACGTATCGGGCTTTTCAGCCACAGAAAAGCTCATGAAAGAAAACGCCTTGCGTGACCATCTTCTTTATGTGTGTCGAATACTCGTCAGCGAGTAATGGCTGTATATATGTATGTATATATCGCTAACTGTTTTTGAAACTGCAATGGATACTATGGGCAGAATCTCGCGAAGTATCTACTCATATTATGTACAGGGTGGGTCAAATTCGACGCTTTTAAATGGAAACACCCTTTTCTATAGGAGATAGACAAAAACTAATATCGGTGTCTGGAGCTCAATTTTTGTCAAAAACATGATGGTGAAAACCGCATATCGATATCTGTTACCGTTTCGGAGTTACGGGGTGTTTTTCAAAAATATGCATTTTTAACGAATCGCTGTAACTTTTTTGCTATGGAAAATTTTGTATTTTTATGAAAACTTTTCCAAAGCACCTTTTTACGTAGAATTTAATGATTTAAGTATAATTTTTTTTAAACTAATAATTTAAGAATTATCAACAGAAAATTTGATTTTTTTATGGGACACCCTGTATATTTGATAATCATTGAAAATAATTTAAAATTACCTTTCCAAAAATATAACACACTTCATATTTTGCTCGATTCCTCTTCGAGATATAGAGTATATAAAAACTCGCCGGCTTTAAATAAGTATGCTTTGAACGGCACCGGCTGGAATGCAAAAAAATTCTAGCTGTGAGCATCAATTAAAACGAAAATAATATTTGCTATGAGAGATGCAGAATTTTATAACAATTTAAAATATATTTAACCAACATCAATACATTTAAATTATATCTAATAACAATAAAAATAAATAGCAAACCAAGGCATGAGATTTTGCTACAGGTGTTCGACATATCAACCGTCTTCTGTTATGGACAGACGGGGCAGTTTTTGAACATTTCTCGCGAAATTCATTAACTCAGTGGGGGTGAAAGATACCCTTTCATAACTGCTAAGTATTTTTAATTCTTGTCTAGATTATACGGAAGAATAAGGAACCGTAAAATGGGGTGAATAGAAACAGTTTCGTAGGCTATTAGCGATATACCGGTTGATAAAAATGTGGTATTATTTTCCCGAATATTTTAAAACATGGGTCTTTGTTTGTTCTTTGCGTGTACATATAATTTGATTTTTGAAAAATATGCATATAAATATTGAATAAAAATAACATTTGTGTTTCTATTCATCTGCTATTCGGGAGAATAGAAACACACATTGATGTTAAGGTTTTTATCTTTTCTATTTCCAACAAGGTGATTTGAAACAGTAAATTATTACATGTTTAAGTAGGTTTCACAATAATTAACAATACATATAATATAACAACTTACATGTACCAGCTTATGTATTACTTTAAAAATAAATATTTTATTTATAAGTTTTCGCGCCATACAAAATAGGTGATAAATCGATCTCACATTTATTGATCAGCTGATTGACAGAAATAGTGCTGCCACAGATAAAAATATAGTTTTTACATTTTATTGCGTATTACCAATGATAGAAAAATTAGATATGTCGACTCTTTTTACTTTGAATATTTTTAATCGTGATTTGATTTTTTTCAGAAATTTTGTTTCTATTCACCACTATGTTTCTATTCCCCCCATTTTACGGAACCTTTATTCTTCCGCAAATATATCCATAGGATTAGATCCATGGGCACTAAGTCAGGCGGCCTCGGCGGCCAACGGCTGGGATCTTGGTTAGCTATCCAATTATTCTTGAAATTGGCTGCAAAAATTTGCCGATAACTTCAGCTGATAACAGAGGCGGTACGTCGTCTTGCTGGAAAGATATGTTTTCGAGTTCCATTAAGGACTTATTATCAATAAGGGGTCCAAAGCCTACTAGTTAAAAGTGGCGAACTTTTAAAAATTCTGTATTTCGAAGGGGATTATGACAAAATATCAAGTGTACTATATTTTTGGAAAATTACCTTTCCAAAAATATAATTATAATTAAATTCTTTTCATTTAATTAAAAATATAGAGGGTGTCCCAAATAAAAAATCAATTTTTCTGTTGATAGGTCTTAAATTATTAATTTTAAAAAAAATATACTTAAACCATTAAATTCTACGTAAAAAGGTGCTTTGGAAAAGTTTTAATAAAAATACAAAATTTTCCATAGCAAAAAAGTTACAGCGATTTGTTAAAAATGCATATTTTTGAAAAACACCCCGTAACTCCGAAACGGTAACAGATATCGATATGCGGTTTTCACCATCATGTTTTTGATGAAAATTAAGCTGCAGACACCGATATTAGTTTTTGTCTATCTCCTATAGAAAAGGGTGTTTCCATTTAGAAGCGTCGAATTTGACCCACCCTGTACATAACAGAGTATTGTTTATTTTATCTACTACTATCTATTTGGGAAATTCATTTTATATAGTTTATTCATTAACCTAGTTTCCTAAAAATTAATTTAAATTAAATATAGCTGTTAAACTTGAACATGGATTAATTAAAAAAAAAATCTGTATAAATGTTGCTCTATTTATTTTTGTTATTTTTTTTCAGGAATTTTCTTTATCCTACCCTGTATTGATGCCTATGCTCGTGTTGATCTGCGTACGAGGACCTATGATATTCCACCCCAAGAAGTAAGTATAAACATTCCAAAAAACTCATTAATTGATCAGAAAAATTGTGTACAAATGATTTATTTCCTTTTTATATATGGAACAATCAACAATGATTGCAACAATTGGCAATACTGTGTTAGAAGATTTTAGGATTAGTGATTTTTTGACCAATTTTTTGGCTTTCTCTTACGGAAAATTTAAAAGTTCTGACATTGTAATTTGTGAAATCAAAATGATTTTTAATGTAAAAAAATTCTATTTTTTAAAACAAAGATAGTGTTCAAGATAGAAAAGGCATCCTTTCATAATCACGACTTATTTTTCATCCAAGCTTTCAGAAGAAGGTTAGAAATTAAACGTAATCGGCAAAGTCAGTTTTAAACAATCCAGAATTGCAGTTTTGAGCACGGTCTAATTATTGACAAGTAATTAATTTTCATAAATTTATAAACAAAAGAATAAAATAGATATTGTATTATTTTTATTAATATTAATACTAGTATGTAGGAGCGTTACCGTATGTGTTTTAATTAAAGGGAATACTCTCTCTATAGCACCTTAGAAAATCTAATTTAGTTAACAAGTAATATTCGCTTGACTACGTACCTTAAATACCACAATATCTTAGACGTGGTAAGTTATACGCTCTCTATTCTATTTGCTATGTTATAACTAATTAACGCGTTGCGAGTTATTACTAATTAAATAGAAGGAGACCTAATTATTCCCTGTTGATTAGTTAACGCAATGTAGGGTACGGTATTGTGTATTAAAATTTAAATAATTAAGTATACAATCTGCTTTTAATGAGTATCACTGTGACCAAGTAATATATATTCTCGAAATTAAAAAATCTAGGAACTACTGGGGTTGCGGTCGGAAGGGTTTAAAATAGAATTAATACACTTTTTTAATTGTCAAGCTTTCGGAATATATTCATTCCTTCCTCAGGACATCAACGTGGTACAAGAGACCTTTATAAAAAACTACATTAACAAAAAATTGGCTTGTGGGATGCATTGAAAACTCCACCGTAAAGCATCGCTGACCCGTCAACAACAAATAAGGGCTCTCTTCTAAAAATTCCATTGCGTCTCAATTTTAATCGAACATCTCTCAATTATTTCAATCTATACTAATATATAAAATCCTTAAGTGACTGACATACTGATTAATCACGATCCTGCTCAAACCACTCAACGTAAGAAACTCAAATTTGGCATACAGGTTGATTCTAGGGTGTAAAGGTTCGATAAGAAGGGATTTTGCGAAATTCCAGTTCCAAGAGGGTGAAACCACCCCTCAAATATTACAATATTTTTTACTTAAAAAACGGTCAATTTTCCGAAAAAACGCTTAAATACGTATACTTTATTTTGTTTTTTTACATATTTTAAGATTTTTTAAAAATGTATACAGGGTGTTTCGAAAAATCTGGTCATTGATTAATTACGATCCTGCTTAAAGTGCGTGACGTAAAAAGCTGATTTTTGGAAAACAGATTGTCTTTAGGGTGTAGAGGTTCGATAAGAAGGGATTTTTCGAAACTCGAATTTTAAGGGGGTGAAACTATCCCTCAAATATTAAAACATTTTTTATTTAAAAACTGGTGAGTTTTTCGGAAAAACTCTTAAACACGTATATTTTATTTTGTTGTTTTACATATTTTAAGATTTTTTATAAATTTATACAGGGTGTTTCATAAAATATGACCATTGAGTAATCACGATTCTGCTTAAACTGCTTGACGTTTAAAGCTGATTTTTGGCAAACGGATTGACTGTGGGGTGTAGAGGTTCGATAAGGAGGGGTTTCTCGAATCTCAAATTCCAAAAGAGGGTGAAAACGCCCCTCAAATATTACAATATTTGTTATTTAAAAAACGGTTAGTCTTTCGGGAAAACGCTTGAATAAGCATAATTTATTTGGTTTTTTACATATTTTGAAATTTTTTAAAAAATCATACAGGGTGTTCCAAAAAGTTGGGTAATTTCTTAACCACGATTCTGCTTAAACTGCTTGACGTAAAAAGCTTATTTTTGGCAAACGGATTTTTCGAAAGTCAAATTCCAACGAGATGAAACTACCCCTCAAATATTACCAGGTTATATAATAATATCGCCATATTGATTTTTCTCATGCTGACATAAATGTGAGAAAATTTTATCCAGTTTGTATGTTAATGGAAAATTCTTGCTTTGCTTTATCATGATAATTATAAATGATTAATTTGACGCGAACGAAGTCGCTGGTACACGCTAGTTTTTAAATAAAAATCAGGCGGCTTAACCGCCCCAAGAGAGCCCTCTTATTTGTGGTTGACTGGTCAGCGATGCTTCACGGTGGAGTTTTCAATGCATCCCACAAGCCAATTTTTTGTTAATGTAGTTTTTTATGAAGGCCTCTTATACCACGTTGATGTCCTGAATAAGTAATGAATAAATTTCGAAAGCTTGACAATTAACAAAGTGTATTAACTTTATTTTAAACCCTTGCGACTGCAACTCCACTAGTTCCTCGATTTTCTTTCTCACTAGTCAGTCGATACTACTGTCTGCTTCTAGAGATTATATATATTTAAGAGATATCTAATATTTTATATTAAGAAAATTTTATTTTAAAAGTATAAAATGTGTTATTAGTTATCAATATCTAGTTACATCCAAATATTTATTCGTAACATGAAAATTACTACTTCTTTTCTCGCAAAATTTAAGTTAGACGGGATAAAACTACTAAAAGTACATTTTGCTTTAATAATTTTTGTATTTTACGCTCAAGAATAGCGATTCTAGAATCGTATTAAAGTTTGATTTAATCCAGAACCAATCTGAATACATCCAGATTTTTTCAAGGTAGTAGAATTTTTAATTTTTAAAAGTATGACCAGAGCATCGTTTTGCTGTCCAATTTATGCTAGTCTTCTCAGATGCATTTTTTATGTCTTAGAGCGCTGAAAGACGCCTTTAGTTTTTTACCAGACAGACTTCCTATGAACATAATTTACAAGTTTACGAATACCCTTTCTTTTTTAGTGATGCAAAATAGTTAATAACAAAACTAGAATAATTGATTTTTTGTACAAAACCATTCATCTTGTATGTTGATTTTCTTATTAGGTTGATTTTATAAAGTAGATTTCTATTTATAAAATTTTAATATACCACATTATTAGTTAAATAGATTACAAAAGTGTTTAATAGAAAGTGCTTTAGAATAGAGTTTATACCAAAAAAAAAGAGTGTGTGCACTAGGTGCGCATATTTGAAGTAAAACTTCTTACTAACAGCTATTAAATTGAAGGATTTGAAGGATATATATATTTTTTATGAATGCTTTTCATAAACTTCAAAAAAATTAGAGTTAATATAAAGATAGACTATATACAGAGAAGACCAGGCTACTAGTAACATTGCAAGTTGCCGGACGAATTTACGTTTGCCCGTTTTGCGTTCGTACTCGAGAGTCACTGCCGGTTAGTCGGCTGGTCAGGCAGTACGCAGTTGCAGTTGTGCTTGGACGGGTCGGTCGTGACAGACTAGGAATATGACGCGAGGAGTGTCGAGCATTTATTATTTTCATTTTAAGTGTTTACCTTCACTTAAGGTAACATTTAAAATAAAAATACTTAAATATTTATTATTTGAGTGTGTTTACAAGCCAAAACTAAAAATAAAAAAATTCTCTAAACCCCAAAAAAACTATAATATTACTCTAAATAAAAAAAGTTATAACAAGTGTTCAAAAAGACCACCTTCTTGTGCTAGACAGAAGCACAGGCGGTGGTAAAATCCCCGTCTGACATTGGCTAACATATTAGGGCTAATAGTTTGGAAAGCCTCCCGTATTTTTACTTGAAGCTCATCCAGATTATTAGCCCTATTATGACCATACAGTTTGGATTTTACATAACCCCACAAAAAGAAATCATTGGGAGAAAGATCTGGTGATCTAGCGGGCCACGAAATAGTTCCATATCTACTAATTAAACGGTTGGGAAAAGTATTGTTCAAATATTCTTGAACAATACGGGCATTGTGGACAGGGCAACCACCTCAGCAATTTGATTACTTGAAAACGTGGGATTTTGATCCGCGGTAGCACAAACGAACACTTGCTTTAACTCCTGTTCTTCATTAATCAACACATCAGGCTGTTTGTGTTTTTGTGGGACACGCACCCATGTGTTTCAAAATTATTAATAACTCTTGATATAATAGATAAAGATGAAATTGGCCTGTTTACAAAAGTTTGATTACTTGAAAACGTGGGATTTTTATCCGCGGTAGCACAAACGAACACTTTCTTTAACTCCTGTTCTTCATTAATCAACACATCAGGCTGTTTGTGTTTTTGTGGGACACGCACCCATGTGTTTCAAAATTATTAATAACTCTTGATACAATAGATAAAGATGAAATTGACCTGTTTACAAAAGTTGGTGGAAAAATTGTTTCTATATCCCGATAAGACCTATTTTGGAAATACCATTTTACAATTTTAATTTTCTCACGAACTTCATAAACATCCATTATTTTACTTAAAAATAAATTTTACACGAGAACTGTCGCGAGAATCTACGTATTCGTTTTGGCTATTAAAACACGAATAAATACAAATTCTGAAACATTCTTATCGCATATCTACCTATTTTTATTTTATCGCATTTTTTTGTCTGCTTTTTATCCGGCGGACGGGTATACGCTAATTCGTCCGGTTCTGCCTATGTTACTACTACGGTGGTCCGGTCTGTATACTATTCTAGCTTTATAATTTTATGTTTTTTTTAATTTTTCTTAAACATTTCATAGAAATTAAGATAGCGACACAAGTTGGTAGGCGAATGTTAGCGTTATTCGAGGCACCATCAATACACATTCGAGGCGTACAGCCAGGGGCGCAACTAGATAGACACCGATTTTGACACCAAATTATTAACGTAATATTGATTTGGGGATAATACCAATTTTAAAGAAACAGTGATTTTTTGTTCATAATATCTTTTTGTTTTTTGTTTA